GCCACCCCGACTCCGGCCAGAGCTACATCTCCGCCGTCTACAGCGACAGCGTGGCCGCGCGCGACGGCCGTCTGCGCCCCGGCGACGTCATACTGCAGGTATACACATCTTAGGAATATTAAAAAGTGAAACATTTATTACATTAAGGGTCTGTCCCACCACTGGCTGATTAAGTCTCAGATAGCCTAAAATGACGTCACTGTCAGATGAGGTAACAAAATCCGACATTTCCATCAGTGATTTTACATGTTGGATTGTTATCAGACAATTTGCAATTTGGTGGGACAGGCCCTTAATTATTATTATAATCTCTTAAAGGGTAGCCAACGCATCTGGGGCTCTTATCGTTGCAGATGTTCATGTACGTCGGATCAAATAGTTATGCGATGCGCTGCTCGTTTGCCTACTTTTTTGAGGGGAAAAAAGGCTTTGTACTCTTAAGGTTAACAATAGATTTTCAATATTAATTTGTACTTATGATCTCAAAGTCAAACTATTTAGTACTACCTGTCGCTGTATGGAAATCAGTATCTTAACTATATAGTTTTTGTTTTTTTTTGCTTTTCAGGTGAACGATGAAAATGTGACATCAATGAAGACACCAGAAGTGATAGATTTACTGAGAATACTCCGAGGCTCGATCTGCATCACCGTGCTGCGGCCGCCCGCTACATGAACCGCCTTCAAGGAAAAAATAACAAACGGACAAATATCATAAAAATTATACTCACATACATAAAATGATTATTCTAATTTGCACTAAAAGCACTAAAATATTGCTTGTGCAAAGCCCTTAGGGAATTATATTTTAACACATATAACTATTTTAAAACGAGATTATTTATAAAGACAACATAGCTTCCTTATACTCAAAAAAAAAAACATAATAGGAATTATAATATAAAGTATTGTAATATTCAAACTTTATGGAGGCTCGCGATTGTTACTTTCCATATCTAAAATTGTATTTTACGCAGTATTTCGAGCCGAGCTGCCATAAAGTTTGAATGGCACAATACAATATCCGCATGATATAGAAATTAAGACAATCATTGGTAAGAAAACACCCGCACAAATGATATATCTGACACGTAAATAAAAAAATAATGTATTAAAATAAGCAATTAATTGTGTTATCGACTTGTAACCATCCTAAATATATTATTGTAAACTTTTAACTTGCCACAATATATTAAAAGTTCCTATTCAAACTCTCATATCTGTGTCTTTTTTTAATGACATCACAAAAGTTGATTTACAATTTAATATATTGTGGAATTGATCTCTACAAGAGTCTCGTAAAAAAGAATTTAATATTGAAAATTCGTATAAAAGTTAGCATTAGCTAGAATAAAAATAATTACGGTAAAGTTATATTTCTTTGGTCAAACTCGACCTAAAACATTGAAGAAATGCATGACATTAAAAGCGTTTAGAATTCGAATAAATTAGATTTTTAAAAACATTTATGTCATTTTATCCTTATTGGAAGATTTAATTTGAGTTTGATGTCTGTAATAAATTAAAATATGAGAATTAATAGGTCGATATCGCAAACTGTAGTTATAGCATTCCATGCTTTAATCTTTGTAGTTAATAAAAAAACAATTTATTTGCAAATTTAGTATAACAATGCAAATTAAATAAATATAACATCTAAAATTTTTATCTAAGAAAATCGTCGTAAAGTTGCACATTGTATATTATTATATGGCCTGAAAGATAATATTATGGAAGAATTTTCTATGATAGATTTATTAATAATTAAAAGACTTTATTGCAACATATAGTACGTTAATTTGGTAATATCACACTCATATAAAATCTAAATAAATATACATTTGTTTGTGTGCATGTTATTAAAATTTATTTTCAATACACGTCAACAGTTTTGTGCATGTAACTTAAGGTTTTAAAAATTAATTTACTTAGTGACTTTTTATTTACCATCATATAATAATAATCATTAACATTTACATGTTTACGCCATATATTAATGCAATAAATAAGATCTTATATAATAAACATTTAGCATACTTTCCTGTAGCTACTAAATATATAATCTAGTCAAATCGGAAATAAATTTGATCATTTCGTTTCGTAATTTAATATAAATATAAGAATAAATACAGCTATAATTATATAATAAATAATTATTTCTACTTTGGTTGCTAAATATGTAATGTTAACAACTGAAAGATTTTATCAACAAATCAAGTCGAAAATATATTTTAATAAAGAATTTAAGATAAGATACAGTAGGTTTAAAGTAATCAGAACGAATCAAAATCAACTGATATTCTAAAATTATTGTGATGGATTTGTGTTAGTAGATATTTACTGTATTACATACATTAATGTCTAATGGAGTTATATGTATTAGTGAAACGTAATATACATAATGATTAGTGCAAATAATATATTAAGAGAGCGGTGCGGAGCCGCGTGACGTCATCTACTTCGTGCTCACAAATTTTGTTAAATATAAAAATGAAAATTTACTCTTCTTTATTTTAAGCCTCGTATCACCCCTTTTTCCCGTCTATACTCTGACACTTTTTGCATATCGGTTAAATAAGTATTTATTTTACTTAGAAATAAGGAATTACAATATCGTGATTTTAATCTTCAAGGTAATAATTTCAGAAGAATTGATTGATTCATTGTATCTTCATTGAATTGTAATTTCTTGTAATATAAACTTTAGTATTTAAATGTTCAAGTTCTGTTATGATTAACCAATATGAAGATAAGTGCAGTACACCTGTGAGCGATTATTGAACCTGGAGTCATAGTGCGGAACAACAGACGGGCCCGCGTCACTGGCACCGACCATCCGAGACAGCTAATGGTGTAATACAACTGCTTACATAATTTTAACATTAGTCAGGAAAACACTTAAGAAAAGCAAAATGGCTTAGCTGTATTTTTGTATCCTTTTAGTCGTAGCTTTCGCCCCCAACTCCATCCGGGTGAAATTAAAAAAAAAATTAGTAGCCTATTCTTCCAGATTATCTTCTATGTCTATACCAAATTTCATCGAAATTCGTTTAGCCCTTTAGGCTACAAACTCTAACAAACCATCCATCCATTCATCCATATATACTTTCATATTTATAATATTAGTAAGATATAGATAGCGATCATTTAGATGGATGGATGTTTGTCAGGAGTTATCTCCAGAAAAGCTCAACAGATCTCGATGAAATTTGGCATGAATGTCTCAGTCTGAAGGAATAGAGTACTTACTAATTTTTTTTTTATTTTGCGCAAAGTCGCCAATAAAAGCTTGAAATGTAATATACAGTGAATCATAGTATGACTAATGAATGGAATGAGTAAACTAAGTAAGTAAGTAACTAAATTTTTCATTTGGTTAGTAGAATAGATATCTTTCGGTTAACTATCAAGTAAAAATGGTAGTCACGTCATACTATGCTCATAACATCGTTCAGATTGACATAGTTTTACTGACAGCCTGTACAAGTGTGCAACTGACCGAAGCGGTTGTCCCCCTAAAGTCGACTCAAGCGACGTATTAAGTGAAGACAGTTAACATTTAATTATTAGTACTGACGCACTTGTGGCATATGGTGGTCACGGTCAACGATCGTCCAGCACACTAGCCAGGGGGAAGGGTGAAGGGGGGGATGCGCTCCGCTGCCCAACGATCTAAATTAGAATAGACCGTAGTAAGGAGTAAGATTCTACCTGATAATGTACGAGATTAAGCTTAGACAAGAATTTCATTATGTTTGCAAAATAAATACATTTAAAGTGAAAGTTAAACCACTTAGAAACGTTGCCGGTCCCGGGTTCGATTCCCAAAACAAGTAATAGCAAAAATGTAACACCTCTGAATGTTTTTTCAATTTAATTCTTATCTTTGAAACCAGGTAACAACATCTGAACCTGACTCTATGTGGTCACTGTGGTATTGTGGTTATAACTTAATGGCAATATATAACAGGAATAACCTGTTACTCTCCTGTGAATTAGCGTTAGATTATAACTCATAAATGATGTGAAAAAAATGGACACTTGAATTCACACTTTTCGTTTTACATTAGCTTATTCTTGTTACCACACTTTCGATAGTTTTTGGAACTTGACGAAGAAATTTTAATTGTAGTTACTACCATAACAACAACTAGAGATAGGGCTGCCAACATACAACAACGAACAACAGATGCATTTTTAAGGATTCGGGAAAAAACATGTTTAAAATGACTACAAAACGCACACACAAAGCTTTCTATAGAAATTCATGTCATTATAACACATTTCAATAATGCTTTCGTAAGTATAGGAAGAAATTGTTGTCTACCATCATTAAGCACTAACACCTGGTCTCTAGGGTTGTCACTTGACGAGCAGTCAGTTGTAGTAAGTGATTCACGCGCGTAAGTCGCGTCGACAGTGTTCATAAAACGTTATATCGGAAGTGCAGTGAACATTTCCGCAGCTTTTTTTTAAACTTGTATTTAAGAATTATTTATCTACTAGTGTTTTACATGTAAGTGTTATTTACTTTAAAATAAATTTTTAATTTATGCATCTGGTTATCCAATTTAACTATTTTGTAAATTAGTAACCTCATCCTTAACATATTAAAATCGTATATATTTTTACGCAAAACTATGTAAAAAGAGATAATAGAAAACAATTAAGTTAAACTTGATATTATACAAAATAAAATGTCCTTTATTTCTTAAATTTGAATATAATCTAAAACCACACAAATGAAATTGTTACATTCTGTTAATTATTAATAATAAACTTATTATTAACGTACGTATAGTAATTAAATAAAACTCAAATGTAAATAAAATTAAATGTTCTCAAAATGCAACAGACCAACTTCAACTTTCACTGAAACTTCATCAAAACAACTTATATTATTTTTTGTATCTTTCCGAATCGTTTTTCAGTAAATTTCGGCATCACGCTGCGTCCGTTACAAAATAATTTATTTACAAAAAGGTTGCTTGCACCGTTACAACATAAATATCTGTCATTTTGTCGTTCGTAGTAAAAAAATAGATATTTTCCTTTCAGCATTCGATTCTGGTTACAGTTACATAAAACAAATGAATACTCTACATTTTCAAACAACGAATAAGATTCACTACTATCAGACGTAATCTGAGAATTAATTATTGGCATATAAAATATTACATGAAACGTATTATATTCATAAAAGTAGATAGATTATTTGTCGGGGAATAACAACAATACAAAAGAACATTACAATTTATAGCATTTTTGATTCTTCAACCTTGGTAACATAATATAATGATGATACGTTATGATTATTTTAACAATTTCAGTGACTATTTATGTTTTGCAAATAGAGCGTAATTGTTAGTTCTAATTTTGAAATTCGAATTTTTGCAGTTTAGTAAATAAGTAAACAAACTTTCTGAGGTGAGTAATGTATTTAAACAAACTATCAAACACTGTTGTTTAGTTTAATTCAATTTATCTTTTTGTAATATCGTAGAAAGTAAAAGAAGCAATACAATAATTTTATTCATCTATTGTTTAGGATTGTTTTAAAAATAAAATTATGTCGTTCTCTATTATCACTGAAGTAACATTTTGTATCTGATTATTTAAATTAAACGACTAAACAGTTTCTTAAGCAATCTAGTTGCGTCACATTGTTTATGATATTGTACAAAGTACATGAACTAAAACAGTTCCCACATTTCTTGACTCCGTCGCCCGATACTCTACACTCTATTTAGAAGGAATCCAAGTTAAAGATACGCTTCACGCCAATCGATTGCAAGTGCTCCCTCCATTGAACAGGTAGAGTCGGTCGTCGAGGCCCATCATTTGTCAACAGGTACACAAATGAATTATGGCGTTAAGTAGACCGAAACAAATCTCGATTTATGGGTCAAAGTGACGACAAATTATTCATTGCCTAGGAAAGTCATCGACTCTATATTAGTTTTCATACATTTTTGTATTTAATAACAGTAGATTTAAGTGATCATTTTGTGTAAGCATTATAAAATTGACCCAAAAGGAATTCGTCTTAAAATCACCAAATGTTTTATCGAATTCACATCGCGATTTTTTCTTTGTGTCCAGCCAAGATTTCCTGACTCAATCAAGTAGTACAAATGATATATTAAATTTCGTTTAGTTTCACACAATCTGTTAGATGCAAACAAACGCAACCGATATTGTTTGCCTATTAATTAACATATCTTTCACTTGTATCAGAAACATCTACATGAAGCTTTGTTGTATTGTATCCATGGGAAGATTTCCCATCATTGATTACGTCGACACGTAAATCATCCGATTAAATTGCTCTTATCGATTTCTAATACGCTCTATTTTACTACCATTTCTTTTTAACAGACATAATACAAATAAGATTTTATCGATCGATTTTTTGGATCAAAAAAGAGGTAGTTCGAGAGTAGTCCTAGTGGTTGAGAAAATAAGGAGTAAAAGGTTAGCGTGGTGTGGGGATGTTATGAGAAGGTATGAATCGTATGTAACAAGAAGGACGTTAGTTATGAATGTGGAGGTATATGGGTAGAGGTAGACCAAGAAAGAGATGGATGGATTGCGTGAAAGGTGACTTGATCGAGAAGGGAGTGATGACTGAGATGACGGATGATAGAGTTATTTGGAGAACGAAAACCCGGAGCGCCGACCCTACGGGAGTAGGATAAGACAGGGGAGATGGTGATGATTTTCTTTAATCAAAATTTGCTTCATTTATTGCACGTCAATTAAAAGCCATACGATAATGAAGGAATACAACGCAACTACTTATAAGATTAATCCGATAAAGTTTTTGTAACAATTGAATGTTGGGAACATTTTAGCACAATATCTCAACACAATGTTGTTAAAATGGTTCGAAATTTTCGTAATAATGAAAGTACTTTTAACACTGATCTGCGTAATGTAGGAACAAAGTTAGAGCTTTAAGATAAAGTATGCTATAACATGATGAAATTTTAAATACTGCGGAAATTTTCACTTAGTTCTAAATAGACTAATTATGTTTATTCAATATATTTACATTTTTGATTAATTCAATAAACATTGTAACCGTTAAAAATTATGTCATTATATCATTTAGCTATACTAAATAGATAACAGAAAAATGTTATCGAAATTTGTGCAAAAACTGTTAACAGTACAGTGAGTTTCTAGGTGATTGAGCTTTTATGAAAGAAACAGTGCAATGACCGTTAATACTCGAAATATCCAAATACACAAATAAACATAAGGTACCAAAATTAACTCGTGAAAAGTACATTTTTTACATTGATAATATTGATCCCGAATTATTCGACATTATGGCACTTACCATAGAATGTAAGTTTCCCTTTAGTGTAGTTTAATTAACTCTTAATATAATTGATTCGTCTTGTATCGTCGCAAAAAGCTGTAACGGATTAGATGTTGGAACGTTACCGGATATGTTGCGGGACAGCCGGCCATGTTCCCGGGGGAGGCACGCTCG